TTATATATATGTTAGTCAATCATTCGTCTCACTAACAGTATTTCACCCTCCCGACAATCTTCTCGATGATTATATCTATTATTTATACATTGTTTAGGTTTTTAAGTCGACACACTTTTAAGTAATTCGTGTTAGAGGATTCCTTAATCCGATCATTAGAACACAATCTTAAGATAAACAAACGCACATAAATTTTTAGTAGTTCATCTTTAGTAAGAGTAACGCCCATTTTTCGTCATTCTATATATATTTCACTATAATTAAAATCGAAAGATTTAAAAGATTTAAATTTTAAACAAAAACTCTAAAAACGAATACATGTTTCTAGCGTTCAATTGATCATCTAATTTTTACACGGTTAGTGAAAAGTCATCTACACACGAAAAAACAAAAAAGCTAGCCTCAAGGAGTAGATATAACATTCAGATGGTCATCTGATGTCCCTCTTATATATATACCGTAGTAAATACGAATCACGTTTAATTTGTGTCTCACAATGAAGTAGTTAGAATTCGAATTTGTTTGATTTCTATTAGGAAAAATAGTAATCTTTTCCCATTATGCCTTTGTAACCATCATTTTTGCTTAAAGCTAAGTTATAATTATGCTCTTTCCGCCAGAAACGGGTTTTTGTCTTGTTGAATAAAAAAGGAATGAAGTGACTCAAAGCGTCTCCCTAAAGCTAAGATATTCGATTTACTGCGTTAAGAATAAACTTTATCCTATATATTATCTTATACTATACTCATAATACGAAATACACTTAGAATTTTCTGGTTTTTACCAATCCCTTACTTTCACACCACCGTATATGTATACACATGATAAAACAATAACAATTAAGAAAAAACAATATAAGGTGATGTGATTGTAAGATTGTAACTGTGGTTGAATACATGACAAGTTAAGTATAATAAGCAAGTCTATACTTCTGAAACCCTAGGCGACGAACACTGCATGCCAATAGTAGAAACAGTACGTACGATCACGAGATCAAACTTATACGTACTTTACTTTCTTAGGATCCCTCCACTTGTAGGCACTAGCCCTTTGCCACGTGGTCCCCCTCCATTAGCTTTATGGGCCTCATAAAAGCCCGTGGGGCCCATCTTCCCTTCTATGCACATGCTTCACATTAAGCTCTACCTATGTATCATGTGTGTGGTATATATAAAAATATACTAATCTTAATTAATACGCATTTAAGTACATATAAACGTATAATATAATAGGCCTAATATATGCCTTTTAAGGAGAAGAGACCGGCCGAAGAAAAGAAAGTCTTGTGGTCTCCACGAAGGGTTATAAAGACCCATGGTCACGTGACCACCATTGTTCTTCATAGC